GAACATCATGCCACCCGAACAACAGTTCAACATGATGATGCCTGACGGAGAGGAGCCCAGGCGCCCCGACGACTACCAGCTGCGATGAGCTGGGCCATCGTGTTTTGGGCCGGAGCTTGCTGCCCGTTGACACTTCTTTTTGTTCCTTTTTCTTCTTCTTACACACACACACACACACACACACAAACACACACTGCGAGTACATTGGACCTCACACGGGGAAGAGAGGAGAACCTAATTACCAGACCCGACATGATACCACTTCGGATGCCAGGACAAAGACGGATGCACTGGAACGCTGTGCCGAGACGCGTGGACGTCTAGGCTTTTCCGTTTAATGCCTGGGGCATGGACAGATCCTGATGTCGTCCACGTCGATCGGCCAGACCGCCGTGTCCACCAGCATATACATCATACAAATAGCATAGCATGGCGCGAGGGGAGGATAGCAATGTGTATACGGTCGAGAGATAGCAGCAGACAGATAACAAGAAAAGTACATGACACACTGCTCTAATTCGATTGCACTGTGATGCACGTGACATGTTGGCAAGCTGAAGCCCTGCCTGAAAGACAGCGGCCCCAGGTGAACAAGACACTGCACAGCAATCGTGTTTCTACTTGTGCAGATGCACATGCGTGCCGGCGCAGGGGCAGTGAAGTCACTGGCCAGTGAGGCCAACCCTTGCTCTGACGGCTGGCTACCTTTTCTTTGAGACTGAGAGTCCCAGTGTTTTTTGTTTTTTGAGTAAGGAAGCCCCACTGTGAAACGCGGCCACGATGCGGCTCGAGGCTGACGGCTGCACCGCCTCTCCAAGGTTAGTGAACAGGGCCCAATCAGAGAAGGGCGGGATGCGCTTGGCGCCCACCCAAGCCTCGTAATGACGACGCACCATGCATCCCAGGCCGCGTGGGTTGGTGGGCTGCACCTGGATACACCATTTGACAACAGAACTGAAGTTGATAGCCTGACCACTTCCATTTTATGTTTCTATTCATTCATTTCTTCATACCTCACCGTGCTTCCATATCATATCTTCCTATATATCTAGGTCACGACTGGGATACTCGCGGAAATCCGTGGTCAGCTGCCTCGAAACCGATAGGAGCCGACATCAGGCTGCAGCAAGCACCAGACCTGCTGGTCAACGTCATCCGACAAGAACCTCGAACCGACAACCTAGACTTGAATTAAGCTGACATTGTGCAAATCGCCGAGTCTTCTCTTCGCCATGCTCGACGAAAACTTGCCGAGTTTCCGCTTCCAACCCTCGTCCGATTCGCCTCTCAACACAGTGCTTTACTTCTCCCACAATGGCTCCGATCCAAGTGCGCAGTATCTCCTGATGCGCGCCGACCCGGCAGTCCCTGCGTCCAAGAACAAATACGCTGTCGCCCTCGCCGACGTCTCCTCTCAGTCCATCATCTACGCCGAGGTCCTCGTCGAGCCGTCGTGGTCGCAGCCAACGCTCTCGACGGCCGAGATTCGCGCTCAAAATGGCCAGCCGCCCCCACCGACACCGATCACCCCAGACACGATCACGCTGAACCTCTACAACCCAGACTCACAGGTCGTGATTCGCTCGAAGCCGGGGTCTTGGGGCAAATCGGATAGCTGGGAGTTCGAGCTTCCCGAGCAGTCGTTCCGCGCGCCCAGTGCCAGCAAGATCGACCTCGACGCTGGCGAGCCTCCCATCAGCGACCTTGTGCCCAAGGCCGTCTTTCGTTGGAAGAAAGAGTCGAGGCTCGGCAGGGAGATGACGTGCTATCTGGTGGGCAAGAGCGTCGGCGGCAAGAAGAGCAAGGAGCCTGATATCACGGTGGCCATGTTCAAGGAGGGACGTCACGACAGCACCGTCACCATTTACGAACCGAATCTGCGTCGTGTCGATGTACAGGATCAGAAGGGACTCGACATCGTGTTGCTCCTCGGGGCCGAGGTCATTCGTGACCTGTATCTCAACCCAAAGATGGATCCCTTCAACGTTTCTGGTGCGCCACCCTTGGCATCTTCCGGACGGCGAAAGGACTCTCGCGGGGCGTCGGCATCTCCCGGTACCGCGGCACCAATGTCTGGGGCCATTGGTGCCCCTCCGCCGCAGCCCACCTCCTACCAGGCGCAGTCCAACGTGGCGCCATCACGCGACGCTCGCCAGCAAGACATTGACGCTGAGACGAAGCGACTTCAGGCCATGGTGGCTGAGGAGGAACGACAAGCTCGCGAACGGGAACGCCAGACGCGCGAACAGGAGCGCCGCGATGCTGAGGAGGCGCGACGCATCAAAGACATGCTTAATCGGGAAGAGGAAGAGCGACGCCGCAAGCAGGCCGAGGTAGACCGCGAAACAGAGCGCCTACGGAAGCAGTACGGCGTCAACGCGCAGGGGTTTGCAGCCACCAGCAGCCTGCCGCCCGAGGCTCACGCACCGCATCTGCCGCCGCGGCCGGGCCCTGGTGGGCCACACTCTCACGGTGCTGGCAAGGGAGGGGGCAGCCCAGGACTGTCGCCATACTTTTCGAGCAGCGCACACGGCCACGCGCAGCCCCCGCCAAGACCCTCGAGCGCTGGCCCGCAGACCCCCGCCATGTCGGGGGGCAGCAGCGGATGGTGGAAGCCTGGGCCGTCGACGCCCGGAGGAGGCACTGCGGCTACGAGCGCAGGAGGTGCGGGTAGAGGAGGCAAGAAACCGGCCAACCCGCTGCACGGTTTACTCAACGGGCACGGGCCGTACGGGAACGCCGCGGCGAGCGTCAGCAATTTCTTCCACGGCGCGGCATCGAAGCATGAGAGCAAGCTGTCGAAGAAGCGCAGCATGTGAGAGATGGGCGCGAACTGTTTTGGGGGGTGGGATGGACTTTTGGGCAGCGTTTTGGCTTACCGCATGCATACATGGCTCAGCGTCGTTTGATTTGGCAGTTGCACACCCTACGTTCATGAATAACGAATTCTATTGGAATGACCCGGGTCTTTTTTAGCTACCTAACGTCGGTTGTATCGGCAACGTGATCGTATACGTACGGTTGGGCCTTGGTCAGAGGCCTCTCCTATTGCGAGGTTTGTCTTATTGATGGAACTGTGCCATGACGAAGCCAAAACACAAGTCATGTTGGCCCCTACGCATTGCTGGAACCCCCCACCTAACGTGTCGAGCGACCCCCGAGCTTGAGCCCCAACTCATCCAGCGGGGAGTGGGCTCTGACAGTGATGGGAAGGGGCCCACTGGGACAGCAACTGTGTCGCAGGCATGATCGATCACGTGGGGCTGGCGTGCTCGCTGGGAGATGAATCCGGCCTAACTGACTGCCCGGAGACTATCCGGGGCACATGGACATAAGAAACTCCGTGGCATTTCAACGACTTGGTGAGAGGGCCCAGCGAGCATGTCACCTGTGGACCTTCCCCTGCCAGGTACCTGGGTACCGTGCCACCGGTGGTCAGGCAGGCAGAGAGCTAGTAAGGCAGGTGTGTGTGCCTGCCGCCAGTATCGACCTCAATAAGTTTAGGTAGTATAAATTCAATAGGAAGGTTCGAACAGCGCCTTGGAACACGTCGGTTTTCTTAGCTTGGGGCCCCTTTGCCAATGCTTAATCCCTAGGCCTCTCGCATTAACTTAGTGTTCAATCAAGAACATCATCATTGGGGATCGCCCAGACATGAATTTTCATTTCCTCCCAAAACACCTTATCCCCATCACCCCTCCCTCTTCTCCTCGCCTCTCTTTCTCTTTTCTTCCTTCTTCTTTTTTTTTTTTTTTCTCTCTCCCTTTGGTCACCCCCCCACCCCCTCTCCCAGCATCGCGCCATTGACCCGTACAATCACCGTTCATGATCCACGGAACCCGTTCAAAGATACCGCGCTACATTGCACTGCGCAATTGAACGACGCTACTACCGACTACCCGTTACGGTACCTACGTATCTTTACGCGAGCCTGTCGGACCGAGGAGAGCACCTCGCTGCCTGTGTGCCTTGGTGTGGGTGGGCTTATGAGGCTGCATCAAGGAGCTCGTTGCGCCCCATGGCAGATTATCCTCGATAGCATCAGCTCCTTGTCATTATCTCACTTCCCACCTCGAAGCCGCGCCGATTCTAGCTTGTTTATCGCCGCCTGACGCTGGTACATTGAATACATCCCACAGTGGCAGCTCCACCTTTCCACCCGCCGCCCACTGGAGCGAGTCCCTCACACGCCATATCCTCCCCACCCAGAGACCCTGTTGCGCGCGAGGTCATCAGCCGCGTTCTTGAATCAGGCCTATATTCTACGCCTTCGTCACTTACCTCAGCTGACGACAAGAAGAGGAAGAAGAAGAAGAAGAAGAAGAAGAAGACGAAGAAGAAGAACGACAAACCTGACAACACCTTTTACCTGCCGAGGCCGGTGCTACAGCACAAAATTCTGCCAGCCACGCATCGTTCCGAAAACAATTGCATTACGGCTGGCTGTAAACTCGTAACCCGCCCAGACCAAGGAAGGTAATGCAAAGTCCGGCAACCTGACGCCTTCACGCTTCACCCTATCCGTGTCAGCCGAGAATAGCGTTGTCAATGCTATCCTATCGCACGCCGCTCTTCCACCTCCCACCAACACCTCCCTGACTAGGGATTACCTACATGTCTTCTCCTGCGCCATAACACCCCGACCACCAATTTGTCTTTTTCACCCCTTCTCCCCGTCCTTTGCGCCTAGACGACCGGCTGACGCTTCCCGACGTCTCAACCCCCATCGGCCACCAGAGGCCTCGCAGCGCGCGCTGACCTCGGACTGCCATCGTGCCCGCCACGTCGGCCTCATCCTAGCCCGGCCATTTCTTCACCCGACCGGCGGCTGGGTCAACCCACCCACCCACCCACTCGCACCCCTTACCAGCAGCGCAACTCCGGTGGTGGCGTTTCGGCCAACATCTGCTTCCGGATCCCACCCAAAACCCTCCGGAACTCTCAATTGCATTACCAATTCACCTGCATCCTACCTCACACCCTTTCAACGCGCGCCAACCATGGCCGCGGCCGCAGATGATGCACCCCCCAGCATGGAGGTTGAGGGTCGTTATTGGGAGTCTTTCAATGGCGCTATTGCGGAGGAAGACCAACGCCTGCTTGATCGGTTCATCGAAGAGACCAAGGACCTTCGCAATGAATTGGCGAGCATGCAGCGCGACAAGGCGCGGGCCGAAGAAAATCTCCGCCAGATCAATCTCGCCTACCAGAACTATGAGGAACGGCTTGAGACGAGGCGTCGTGAGTTTGAGCTCCAACAGAGAGCCCTGGCGGCTGAACGCGCAGTCCGACGAGCCAAGATGACTGCGTGGTTTGGCTCGCGCGGCACCTCATCACATCCCAAACCACCCAGCGAGGAGCACGTCGATGTGGCCCATGGCGACATCCCCAATGGTATCGTCGTCAGCACCCGGCGCATCAAGGACGGCAGGACCAGCCTACCTGACGGACCCCAAGCCGCCGCCGCCAACGGGGCCGCCCCCAGATACCACCATACGTTTGCCGCAGCCAACAATGTGGGCGCCACCAACGATATCGGCCAGCTCGATGATCTCACGGGCGTCGAGGTTTTTGATGGTGACGGGAATTTTGTCGCGCCCGTGAGGAGCATCCCGGCACAGAACGCAGTGGTGTCGCTGCTGTTGGGACTGCCAGTCAAGCGTCGCGTCAACACGCGCCCTGGCCGCACCTTTGATCTGGACAAGTTCAACTCTATCTACGACAAGCGGTACACGTATGCCAACGGCCCCAATGCGAAGCCAGCGAGGTGGACCGCCGTCATGCTGCAGGCTACAGGCGACGTGCTCGAGGGCGCGAAACGCTGCCTTAACTGTACCAAGAACCTGGGCCCCTTCGATACGTGCATCATTCCACGAGGGCCCAATTTTCGCAAGTGCGGCAACTGCGAGTGGTCCAAACAGCCGTGCCAGATGCCTGCGGAAGAGGCCGTGAGCGACGAAGACGACGACGAAGCTCATTCGACGCCAAAGACGGGCGTCCAGGAGGATATGGCCCAGTACGCCGCGGCCGCACCCCAGGACGACCTTGATGATTCGCGGGATGACAGCCCTGCCCCCAACGCGCTGCGGAAGCGACCAAAGGGCGTCGCGACTATTCAGCAGCAGCATCAAAACGTGTACCACTGGCAAGGCGACAAGACGCCCAAGCAGACTTCTCCCGAGGATGACTCGACCGAGGAAGACATGGAACCCATCACAGCCAGCAATCTCGTGCTGCGTCACAACGGCGTCACGTACACCCACCCTGAATGTATGCAAGGCGTTCCTCTCGTGAAGATTGACCCGAGCCATCCGTACTGGGAGCCCGACTGGGAGCCTGATCTCGAGACTGCGGCTATCCAGCCCGCCCTGGAATCGTGGCGTGTCAAGCACGAAGCTGCGCTCAAGGGAAACACGAGCAGCAAGTTTCAGGTCGGACGCCAAGTCAACCGTGGCGAGACGATACTTAAGTTCTTGAGGCAAGCCGACATCAGCCCTTACCAACTGCTGAGCAAAAAGTATGTCAACTCGCGCCTGGTCGGCTACGATACGCTGTTCCGACTCGCCGATACCTATTTCGTTCTCGAAAGTTTTGGCACAATGGACATCACGCCTCTGGAATGGATCCGGCACCGGCTGCACGAAGTCATTCAAGAGGAGGGCTCGCACTTCAAGCTCTACGCCAAAGTACACAATTTCTACCATGACCGCAAACTAGAGGCCCTTCGACTCGCAAACGGAAAGAGGAGTATCGGCCGCCCTTCTGGTATGAAGATGTCGGGAAAGAAGAGGAAGAGCTTGAATGATACGCCCATCAAGGCTGTCGTACCTCCGGCCGGGGCTGGCCCTATTTCGGTAGGGCCCCTGCCCGGTTATGATGTAGTTGCGCAAGTATCAGCGGCGGCGATGCATCATGCGCAGAATCTCAGCGCCGAGTCCGAGCAGGAACGGCCGTATAAACGGAAACGGAAACCTCTCGTCAATAGTCGCAACGGCACGCCTTTGAATGGCGAGGACGAGGGTGAGGGCGAGGGCGACTACGACTTGCAGTATGACGGATACACCGATACGGACGACTACAGTGGTGATCAGATTAGCAACCACGATTTCTGCTTGAGCTCCGTCAAATCGCGCATCAACACAACGAGCACGTCCGTCACGCAGTATTGGCATTGGGTCGATATCGAGGGCGGCACAGACGATGTTTTTGAGCACCAGGTTTTATCTGACTGCAATCCGCCGTCGTGGGGGTTGTACTCTAACCCGGTCAACTTTCACTTCACGCCGCAAGACGTTGTGGACATTCAATGGGCGGCCGACACGCGCAAAGTGGTTGTACGTTGCCGGCCTGGCGTCGAAAAGGACGAGCAAACCGGCCAAGAACGCGGTGACATGATTGCCGATTTTGCCCGCGAGCGCACCAAGCGGCGCTTCCTTGTGTTTTGTGAGAAAAGGGGAATCAAAATCGTCAAGACGACGAGGTTCGTGTCTCCTTCTCCTGTCATTCCTGTGCTCTTTCACTAACCAGACTGTCTGCTAGTGACGCGATCGAACAGGCGTGGGAGACTACCAAGTCGCCCTTTGTTGATCCCGTCGAGGCTTCTGAGTTGGAGATGGTCTGAGAACACCGTACCTCACCGCTTGACTTGGACCGGGCAGCTATCTCAGATTTAGGGAGGAATTTTCATACTTGTTTCTGGTGGAGGAGATACCCGAGGCGCGCAATCGATGGAGGACAACTTGCTTGCGACCGGCGTTGCCATGGGCGTGATTTACTTGGCGTTGATGGTTCATCTCAAGAGACAAAGTTCTTTTTACAGCATTTGTTCATTCTGCGCTGGACTCAAGTCAAGCAGCAGGGACACGGCGTCAACATGGTTATACGAGCCTGGCTCGAGAATGTATGATTAGGGCAGATTGCATGATAGTGACAGCAGGCAAGCAAGCCAACTAGAAACATGTACAGCGACGCGTATGCATTGGCCCGAGTTCCTATGTCTCTTGGCGCATCGGAAGGACGAGGCATGCCGGGGTGAACATCTCCGCGCACCATCGCTTGGGGCAAATGCGCCGCGGCATCATTGCCAATGGACCCCCCAGCTGATGTGCGGCGCAGCAATAGGTTTGCCTTCCCGACCAAGGCGGACGAGGCCCAATTGACGACGACGTACTTACTACCTAGGTTGTCGGTCGCTCAGTCTACTTGACGCGGCTGGTGAGATTTGTCATTGAAAGGTCTCCAACACAATGGACACGCTCAGGATTCAATGCGACCGCCTTGAGGAGGCTCTCGAATCCACTGCAACGAGCGTGGAAGAGTTCTCAAGTACGCACACGACATCACATGCCAACCTGGAGCCGCTCGTGACTGAGCTCTCTGAACTACGACGGTCCACCGCAGCTCTCCGCGACAAGGCTGCTTCTTTTGATGACGGCGCCACGCCCATCCCAGATGATGTGTTCCGTGGCATCAAGATGGTGCCGGCCAACTGCGTCGGTTAGTCCTTGCTGTGCGGCAGACGCTCGAGGACCCGACCCGCCAGCGACACGACTGGCAAGGCATCGTGCCAATGGACGCTGATCGACTGGTGAGGCCGCTCGAGACCGGTAGGCGGGCCTTGGACGTGGCCGTGGCCGGGCTGGACATGGCGACGGGCGTCAACATGGCCGAGCAGACGGGTGACTCGCCGCCGTACGCAACGACGTCGATTGTGCCCGAAATCCTCTACATCAAGGTCCGCCTTGCCGAGGACCGCGACCGCAACGCCAACACAGTGCAGACTGTGGTGCTGACCGAGTTCCTCGAGGCACTGCAGCGCTTCGCCTCGCAGCATTCGGGCAATCTCGTGCCCCCGCCGATCGAGCAGCACCGCAACAGCAACGTGGCTTCATCCGACGCGGCCTCGCTCCCCGGTGGCAGCGGCAGCGGCAGCGGCAGCGGTGGTGGTCCGGACTCTTTCCAGGCCCCGGACGACTCTACTCGTGCGCCTTCGCCTGGCCTCGACGGTCTGGACGCCGGCGACCTCGGCCGCCCGACGCCAGCCTACTCGGCCATCAGACTACCCCCGGCACCGCAACGTATGGACCTCCGCCACGTCTCGCGCCTGCCGACCCTCGAGTCCGAGATCCTCGGGATCGCCTTTGACGCCACGGCCCGCGTGCCCCGCGTGGCCGTGACAACGTACCACCATCGCGTGCGCTTCTTCCACATGAAGGTGCCCGAGGGACGGGAACAGATGGCCGGCCGCTTCAACCTCAACGGCACGTCCATGTGCCTCTCGCCCGCGGGACCCTCGATGGCCGTGGTGCAAGAGCACATGGACAACCTGTCAACATCGGCGTACGAGCGCCTGGAGCTGTCCAGACGGCAGGCGGGCTCACGGGAAACGCTGCATGACGGCCGCACGTTCCTGGACCCTGAGGTCGTCGTCTTTGGCTATGCAAAGCAGACGTATCTCACGAAGCACCTGCGCTGGCCCGGCGCCAGACCCTTTGCCTTCTCGCCGAACGGGGCGTGGCTTGCCGTCAGGGGCGTCCTGGGACGCGTCGAGGTCTGGGACGTCGCCGGTGGCGGCAAGGGGGTCGGTGTCGTACGGAGCCACACTGCGGACGTGTTCGAGGCGCGGTTCACGGCCGGAGGCGACGGTCTCGTGACCATGAGCAGGGACGGGACGCTGCGGGTGACGAGCACCATGACGTGGCAGGGGACAGCCAAGCTCGAGGTGGATGAGTGGAAGAACCCAGTGTTTCTCGCCGTGTCAGTAGCCGGCTCCGTCGTCGCTTCGGTCTGGGGTCGAAAAGTGTACTTGTGGGACCCGGACACGGGGGCCCTCGACAATTGGTCTCTTGATGGGCCTGGGGGCGAGGGATGGCCACTGGCGGCGAGTCCCGACCTGAGGTTCTTGTGCTGCCGGACAGAGAATGGTGCTGATGTCAGGGACATGGCGACGGGGAGGGTGTTGTGCAGGATGGGCTTCGGGCAGGGCTTTGCGAGCTCGGCGGCGTTCAGCTTGGATAGCAAATATCTGACGGTTGGCCGGGCCCTTGGCGGACATCATGTGAGAGAGGCCCTGGGCAGGGTAGACTTTTGGGAAATCATCGAGTAGACACCTTTGATACGTCAAAAGCTGACGGAAAGAAGAAAGCATGATTCGCATTGAGCATTACGACCGTGTCGGATGGTCAGTCTATCGGACATTGAAGGATCCATGCTTCTGCCCCTTTCTCGTCCAGAGCTCCGGAAACATAAATCAGAACCCGATACCCGCCAGGCTTGCGTTTCTTCCATGTACGATCAGCCAGATTATGCGACCTTGACGAATGTCAGAGTGAAGACAGCTTCATGCGCACGTTCCAAAGCCAGCCTGGCATCCTGTCCCACAATGATCTCCAGTGGAGCCGCACCATCCAGCTCTCGAACAGCACGTTGCCCCGAGCGGCTCCTTCGCACAAGTGGCGCTGCCATGGCTCGGGCCACAACGACCATTCGTGGACGGAGGGCGAGCTGTAGTTGTTGGCGCGGGCGGCGTGGTGGTAGTCGTCGCCGCGCTTGGGCTCGAGGCTGAACACGTTCCGAAGCCGACCTGGCATCCCGAACCGCAGTGCGCCGATGAGCTACCACACCAGCCGGCCGATGAGCAGCATGTAGCCCCAGGCTCGCGAGCGCAAGTTTGCCGGCCCTGGTTCACCCCACAGCGGCCATTTGTCGTGGCAGGGGGGTTTCCCGTGGGCTGTGCAACCGAGGTTGTGCGTGTCGTGGACGGCGGGTTCGGGGTGCCGACGGTGCGATACCAGTTGGCTTTGGGGTCACCGAGACACTCTCCGACAGTGACGGCGCGGAAACCGTTGCGCTGGAGCGAGGCAAGCATGTAGTCCGTCAGGTTATAGACGCTCTGCTGCACGGGGTCGTGCTCAATGTGAAGAAACTTTGCGGTGGCGGGGTTGGCGTCCTCCACAGCAGCGTCCCAGATGTCTTTGGAACCTTGTATAGCTGATGGACTGTTGCGAAGGTAGCCCTCCGTGTCAAGGTCAAAATAGGTAATGTGGTAGCCAAGTTCGTTGAGAAGCGTCTCACACGCGCCGTCGCATGCAGAATAGGGGGGTCTAGCTTGTTAGTCAAGCGTTGTAAGGGTCGCAAAAACGACAGTGGTCATACCTCATATACGTCGGGAAGTAGCCGAACAGATCAGCCAGGGCGATCTCAAGGTAGTTCATCTGATTACGGAATTTGGACTCGGTGAGTGTCGTCAGGCGTTGGTGGGACCAGGTATGGCTCGCGATCTGATGGCCCTCGGCAACCATGCGCTGTGATCCGTCAGCTTGGCAACCCTTTGCAACGACACGGGAAGTGGCCTCACCCTAAGGAGTCCTGGCCACGCGGTGTTTGGGTCATTGATTTTGCCCTTTCCCAAGTTGTTGCCTGTCACGTAAAACGTCGCCTTGGCGTTGTAGGCCTGGTTTAATATGGTAAGCGACATGGGTTTGAAACGATGTATCGCAGGTCGCCGCTCAACCTACCTTGAGCTTGTCGAGCAGGTCGTCAGTGTAAATGTAGGGCCCATCGTCATATGTTAGGGCGATGTCACCAGGTCGCGTGCAGCGACGGACCGATGTGCCATATGGTACGCTGCCGACTTTGGGCCGCGGGACATTCTTCGTCTCAGGACCGCTGGGCCGGATGTTGGCATCGCAGGCCGGTCCGTATTCGATCTGACAAGACGGCGCTGAGCAGTAAAGATATCCCTGACCGCACCATCTGACGACTATCCGTTAGGGCCAGCGCCGCGTGGAGGAAAGATGACAGTACTTACCCGGCGCTGGAACAGCACATACCGGCTTCGCACGAGGTTCCAAACTCTTTACCACATCGTGCACCCTGTCGCTTTTCCAAGGTGGCGGTGATCTCCGTCTCGTCGACATCTGCATGCGACTTGATGGTTGCTAACCTGCGGTCCATGGCTTGCCGCCGGCCAAAGCGCGCACTCTGCAAGGTATCTCGTCCCTCCGTTAGGACAGTGTCTAAGGCTTGTCCAGAAACGGGTCCTGCCAGGCTCGCAAGAGCGAGGGCAATTATGTCGCCGCGCATGGTTGTATGATAAGCACTCGCGGTGTATCTCCCAAAACCAATGAATAGAGCAAAAAAGGGGCGACCACGAGATCGAGCATTAAAACAAGTACCAGCCTAGTAACTCAGAACTTTGAGGCCAAGGTGAGAGCATTTGCATCAAGAAAATATTTCGAAAAGACGGGTTAAAGACAATGGAGATTCTCGTTAGACCAGTCTGCTACACGAGCCCGAGTCGGTCTGGCCGAGTCCCTAGAAAAAGCAACAATAGATCGCGGTTCTATGTATAAACCTAGCAGAGCATGGGCCGAACAAAGAGATGAAGGGCGCCATGCTGGCTCATGAACGTGGCAGGGCGGCTGGCTGAAGCAGAGCAAAGCGACAAGGTAGCATCGGCCGAGCAGCGCTGACCGAGGCCTCAGCTTGGTCTCAATCGGCTGAAGATTCTATGCATACTTCAGCGTGCGCTGGGCGCCAAAAAAGAAGCAATAGTCAAGCCACGAGGGTGGCCAGAGCCACTGGTCACCACAGCGGAAAGCCTGGGACGACAACATGGCGAAAAGATCATCAGCCTGTGCTGGCTCTCATCCCGGTTGGCCGTGAGTCAGCCCAACTTGGGATAGATGTGTTCTCAGCCGCCATCAAGGGCGATACGAGCGATGCGGCTGGGACAGGGCTGGGCTATCATGCCGTGATGAAAGAGACAAGGTCGACGAGGGGATCGACTTCGGAAAGAAAACGTTGTTGGCTTGCACATATTGGCTTGGCACTGGCCTTCCAGTGGGTGTCCACTGTTCGTATAGGCGGCTCATCCCCTAATGCCGGCAAGGTGCGCACCGAAGATCAGCGTTCCTCAGCAGCGTCGACCCCCACTACCTACAGGTGCGCTGCCGATTCTGTGCCTGCAGCACTGATTCAAGTGGATCCCGCCCCGGATAAACCAATAGGCTAAGGGTCAACCTAATTGCATCCCCCTGTTCGAATAACTATATCTTGCGCATTGGACCCCCCCTTCTCCAACCCTGGCCCCCCTGAATCGGGTCGTTGCAGCCGCGCCCGCAAACGATCCAACCTTTTCTCGACCTCACATCATTGCAAGCCCTGGCGACATTATCCGCTCGGAAGTAGACAACACATACATAGAGCCGCGGCCGAATAGCGGCCGGCTGGTCTCTCGTCCCCCCTGAAGCTAGTGATGCTGTCTCACCAACAATGCACAGTTCGAAGGGTTTGGTCTCGGCGCCTCATAACGGCAAGTGTCGCACCCGAGTGCTTGCAGCGGCGTGTTGTTTCTGCTGCACGTCCCCTCTCCTCTAACAAGAACTTCTAGCACGTAACGAGATGAAATCTATACGAAGGCCACAGTACAGCTGGTCTCGGAAAACAAAGGCAGAGATGCATGGCGAATGAGCTTCCATTGAGGTGCTGCAGCTGTTGGTCGTGGCTGTTATACCCTCGAGCACTATCTTGCTATCTTGAGCTTATGTCCGTCGCTTGTCGTGGCCTGCCCACTGAATAATACTGTTTTGCAACTGCTGGTCTCGGCGCTATCAGAAACCGGCCTAATTTGGGCTTCTTCATAGAGACATCCAAGCGATCCGCACGAGCGGGAAAAGAAAACGTCTTGAATATCATATCATATTAGACCAAAAAAACAAGCTTTACTGTAATTAAAGGGACCCCGGGCTGTTGCAGACCCCCACATGTTTCTGTCTCGATCGGCCGTCCACGTCTTGGTTCATGCTTCCGTTTTCTTCAGCGTTCCCAGTGCACCCACAGCCTTGTGCGGTGCAGCTTCGCCCAATATTCTATGTAGTGCGTCAAGATAGGGCCACCTACCTTTATTGACATCAAAGAGACACAGCGGGGCCATCAAAATCCAGCATTTTTCTGTACTTTGCGTTTATCAAGTTAATGTGTTCCACGGCCACCAAGGCCGTCCCCCTTTTCGCCTTCCGGATCGATGACCTCGCGTGTCTTGCCCCACTTGAAGTCGTCCGAGTTGAAGAGTGAGTAGACGAGCACAACCACGTTGCAGAAGGGCGAGGTGATGAAGTGGAAAAAGTACCCGACAAAGTACTGTGCCCTCTCGAACCAGTTGCGGGGGAGCCAGAAGCCAATGCAGAGCGAGTAGAACTGGGACGAGTCAGCGAAGCCAAGCAAAAGTAGCCAAGGTTGACTCACATAGCGGCAAGCCAGAATAGAAATGAGAGTCATGAAAACCGGATCTTTGACGAGTTCATCACCCCGCTCGATCAATATGAGGATCAGCTTGACAACGGCTGCCATGATGAAGGGCGTGATGAACCACGTCAAGACTGCGACGATGGACTGAAGACGCTCCACAAGAATGATGCCTGGGCGAAAGATCATGACAAATTCGTTGGTGATGGAGCCCAGCGCCCAACGCTTGCGCTGGGACAGGAAAACGGTCCAGTTTTGAGGGACGATGGTGAAGGCCTTGGCACGGAGCGCCTGGGCTGTCTGTCGCTTGGGGAAAAGGCTGAATATGATGCTCGCATGGATAGAGTCCTCTGAGTAGTTACCCATGATGTGCATAGTCATTATGTCGTTGGGCTTGGGGCAGTATCCGAAGCGTTCGCGCAGAACCTCGTCTCCAAACGTAGCTCGATCAACCTTGATGAGCTGGCAGCAGCCTGGAAGACAGTTGACTTTGCCTGTGATGCGTGACTGGAAGAGACGACGAAGACCCTGGGTCTGGGAGTACTCGACGGACTGGTAAAGAGACCACAGGCCCCAGTTACTCCCGTCATAGTCCACGCACACGTGGCCGCAGACACCAACAAGCTTGGGGTTTTTGCGGATCTCGCGGATCATTTCCCAGATGCAAAACTGGTCAAACACCGTGTCGGCATCCATACCCACCAAATACTCAATGTGCTCCAGACCGTGCTGCATGAATGCGTTTCCAATATACTCGAACAGGTCATTGTTGAACATTGTCATGACGTTGGCGGATCGCACTTGGTAGTGGTAGATGAACGAACGCGCAAAGCACAAGCTGTCGCGCTTTCCTTGGTTGTAGCGTTTGCCGACAAAGACATACGGCATTCCCTTGTAGAACCCCGTCTGAACTTTAGTAGGCATGAACAGGCCATCGCGCGCGCGGTAGCCGTTTTCAAACGTGCGGGAGGGGCCAGGTTCAAGAATGTCCTCCAGGAGATACTGCTGTGTGGTCTTTTCCATGCCAGGACCCTTGACATTGCCATCGACGACGATGAAAATGGTTCGGGGATGGTCGTCGATATTCTTCTGTGCGATGAGAGAATCCAGCGATCTGGTCAGCTCGCCCAGTGTCTCGTTGTAGCAAGGCAACAACATGACGAACCGCTCTGGGCTCTCGGGCTTGTTTTCCTTCCGGAAAATCCAGAAGCAAAAGACACGAGTGACTAATGTGTGCGCAACGATGCACAAGATCATGATGAACTGAAGCATGGTGTTCGAAGACAGAAGTATAATGAACAGGATCCATGCTTGGTAGTATGTGAAAGCGACGTAGATGAGTGCGGCGTTGATACAGCAGAGTCCGATAAGTAGTGACCACTTCTGAACTCGGAGCAAAGACCTCGAGACGACTTTGAGCTCGCTGTCAGAGTCCCATCGTACCTTGGCCTCTTCCTGCTGTACTGAGGACTGGAAAGATGCACTTGAGTCGGCGCCGCGAGAGAAACATGAGGCAGGACCTGACGTTGGCGTGCGTGCCCCGAGTGGAAGATCATCTGGACGGAAGCCAGGACCAATAGACTGGTGCTATATTAGTGGCCATGCGAATGCTGAAAGATCAATCACTTTTGTCTCACCGAGGCCGAGGACTGCTGCCCGCTGGGAATGTGTGTAGACAAGCTGCGGCGACTTTGTGGATTTGTTGCAGCGAGATAACCGCCCTCCATCTCAGATGGGGACTGCGGGATAGGAGGAAGCGGAGGGCTAGACCTCGCGACAGTGGTGCTAGCCATGGCGAAGGGGGAGCAAAGTTTGGCCCGTAGGTATTGTGAAACCACGTGTAAACCTGTAATCGAGCAGGTACTGAGGATGAATATACTCGTGTAGGAGGAGGGGAATGTGATAAGTCTATGTGAAGAATACAATAGGAGACAATGAGGAGTAACGAGTGTGTATCCCAATGCCGAGGATGGACAAAGAGGGCTCCCTGGCGAGATAGAGAATTCTGGCAGTTTAAGGCGGAGGGCGCGAGGTAATATTGCAACCGCGACGATTCAAAGAAAGGGGCTTTGACAGCACGAGCACGGACATGGTCGGAATGAATGCTGCAGATGTCGCTTCGGTCAAGCGGCTTGAACCCTGCAAGGTGTTGATAGGTATTTGGGCCGAGTCCAAGCCACCGAGCTAAACTTGACAGCGGTGCCTCCCAAAGAAAGCATGGAGGATGGAGATCCTAGACACCAATGCAGAAGAGTGTCTCTCAAGAATGGGGTAGAGTAAATGATCGTTCACAAGTCAAGCTGAAATGAGAATGTCTGGCAAGCGGGTGATCTACTCACCTGCCTCAGCTGAACAGCAATAAGACTTGCAAGGCTTTGTTCTGAACAGGGAAAATTTGAGATCGACACTGATGCAATTGATCGGATAGTAATACGGTCTGTCACATCCCAGTATGTCGGTGAACTCCACGGCTGATCCAACAAGCTGGCCATGCGCTGGCACCCTTCCCGACCTATCGACCATCCAGCCTTTCTACCCTTGCACTGGTGCTGCTACTGCTGATGGCGCTGTGTGCAAGCATCTGCAGTAGTGTCCGAGATGGACGAGCTCGAGGTCCGGGATAAGGTCCGGATTGTGTAAGAGGTACGTAGACCGCGGCATGCGGACGAGGATCTTGACCCTGGGAGACCGAGGACGTGGGCCAGGGGATGCCGGGTATGCGGTTCAGACACCGTTGCATCGCTAACAATTGTCGAGCAAAAGCAAGCCAAGACAAAGGTCACACAGCCCCATGAAACGGAGCAATAAGACTTGCACAGCACAGCAAACAAAGAGAAAATGGTCCATGCACTGGGGTAATATCCCGAAGGCGGGCTGACGTGATGACCCTTTCGGTGCTTCTCCGTGCCTCCCCCACGAACTTGACTCTGGTGTCTATGGTAGGAGTATTTCCCGCAAACAGTGTGGACTCAGTCAGCATTTGCCTGACACTCAGGTGTGCTTCAGACGAAATCATGATCTCATCTGGGATTAAGTGAGAAGATCAATGATGACCTAAGCTCTCTCAATGAGGGGGTGAATAGAGAGACAAAGCAACAAGTATCGTAATTCCCACTAAGATAAATTGGAGTCGCAAATACGAGGCAAAGAGCAGTAGAAATGATCAAATCCATGTGGCCCTCGTGTCTTAGAAGCGCGAGGCTGAAAGGAAGTGTCCATCACAGGGCGTGTGTGTTTGCAAAGCCACGTTTCTTGGAAGCTGCTGAGCTGGTGGTCTTTGTGCAACGATGCTTGAGCTCGAATACGACGCGCCAAGGAAGAGGACTTCAACTCGACTCGGTCCGTACCATTTTACCAAGAACTGTGGTCCTATAGACGTTGGCAGACCCGAGATGCCGTCCGAAGTGGATGCATTTTTTCTTTGTGCTTGTGTAATGTCAGATCGTACTGCTTATTGGCATACGTATTATCAATCACCTCCAATGCATTTGCACCCCCTCTACGTGGGTCTCCTTTACACATCCTTGCATGGCAAGGGACGGGACGACAATGTGTGGATATCCGTGCGCAATTAACCTTGGATCCGCAACAGCTGTTGATGAGCCGTGGTTTCCGGGATGCTTGAGGGCTGATCACTGCCCGCATGGAGTACAGCATATTATTGTCACCCCTTGGTCCTTGCTGTCCCGTACATTGGACTCGCCGGCGTGGAATAATCTTGGCCAAGTAGTGGCTCCCGCAGCTTTCCTTCTCCCAGTATTGGTATCTCTCCCAACGGGTCTCCTCGGATCAGGCTTAGACTCGCTAGTCTGCGGCAAGCATCATCCATGTCTCTTTCGCTATTGTTTCCTTTGCATCCGGCAGGTCCATGGTAAACTCGATGGCCCGATTGATCAGTCGCGCGATCACCCAAGGAATGCCATTGAAGCAACAAAGAAGACTGCCCATGGTTGCTTGTGCTACCAGCAAGCGAGGTTTGTTCTTCTTTGTATACTTGGCGAATGGTTGCCCGTCAAATCATACTCGGAGGATTCATGACAAGTCGGAATATAACCGGTCCTCCGCAAATTGTCTCCTTTCCACTTGTCTAGGGCGTTGTTAACAAGCCATTGGATCACGGTCCAGGGAATGCTACATGTGACCTTTAGTTATGTGACGCAAAGCAGGGCCCGTCCATGGTTCCAAGCCACTACTTGGCGACCACGGCATGCTCATCGGAATTCAATCGAGGTACAGCCAAACAGCTTGTAAAACAGACGTGTGCCCATAGTGAGGACTTATCTGAACGGGCGCGATGAAAGGTGAAACGGAAGTATCGGAATTGTAGTTGGTGATGAGCGTGAAGTCAATCATCTCGCCAAAGCTGGGCCTACCAAGAACCCACAGACATGTTCCAACCTATTACTGTGACCCTAGCTATATTTCGTGTATTCAATTGACTGTCTGATCATGTCGAGGTTCTACATGTATCATGCCGCCTCTCGAGAACAGATTACGGCTTCTTCTCGAGCCGTGAAAGCTATAAACACTCGAACTTTGCAATGTCGAACGTTTCAACCGCAAATGCCGAAAACCTTCTGACACCCCACGCCACAATGCGCTGCTGAGCTCCCGCTGTTCGGTCGCTCGTCAGCAAGCCGAAGAGTAGGGGGATGAAGAAAAGAGAGAGAGCATACCAGAAGCCAGACTGCGAACAGCAGTTCTTGTTACCATAATTTTTACATGAGGCGTTGAATCGTGTTCCACACAGCCCGTTGGTCGTATCACTGAGACCTGCTGGCAACTGCGTGCATGTTCCGTAGCCGGTGTCACATCCCGTGCCGCAGTAGGATGGACTGGAGCCGCTGCCAAGACTATTAGTCTGCCGAAACAACCCAAGATCGACAATCACTTCTGCAGGCAGAAAACACGCGGCTGTGTCTAAGTCCATGAAAGATCGAGATTGACTCACCAGAAGCCGTAGAAAGAGCAACAATTTCCATACTTGGAGCCCTGGCAGGTGAAGCCGGCGGCGCCACCACCGCATGTCTGGTCAGGTGATATTTTAAGACCAGAGTTCGACGTTGGTATGGCAGTGGCGGATGTTCGTGATGAGACAGTTGTGGCGCTTGTCCTTGTCGTGGTTGGGCTCGGGTTAACGGGTCGATACCAATTCGCTCTGGGATCCCCGAGGCACTCTCCTACGGTAACCAGGCGATAGCCGCGTGCTTTTGACGTCTCGATCATGTACTGTGTCAGATTGACGACGGTCTGGACGTGTACGTCGTGGGCAAGAACGATGTAGCCCTTTCTCGTAGGATCTTGAGACACTGCCTGGGAAAAGCGGTCTTTCGCCGTTTGTATCAGGCTTGGGCTGTCGTACATGTAGTCCTTGGTATCAACATTGACGCCAAGTAAATGGTATCCAAGGGTCTTCATGAGGCTTTGACAGCCTGAAGCCGTAGAGCACTCAAGGAATGGAGCGCGAAAGTACGTGGGAAACCAGCCAAACAAGTTACGGAAGGCCATTTCGTTGTAGATGATCTCAGTACGCTGAATTGTGCTGTTCACTTGGTTGAGGTTGCGATGAGACCAAGAATGACTTGCGATCTGATGGCCGGCAGCATGCATGCGTCTCAGAACTGCAGGCCAAGCCGTATTGGTATCGTCAATCCTTTTCTTGCCCTTGTTATTACCAGCGACGAAAAATGTCGCTTGCACGTTGAGATTGTCGAGAATATCGAGAATTTGCGATGTGTAGGAAAAGGGGCCATCGTCGAAGGTGAGAGCCATGAGGCCCGGGTTTGTGCATTCCGTTATAGTATTGCCTAGAAAGAAGATTCAATGAGCATTGGGATCTCGTCTCCTGATCAGTGAAGAATGGGTATATACCGTAAGGGACTGTCCCAATCTGGGGGCGTGAAACACTCTCTGTGCTTGTTCCAGGGGGTGGAAAGCTGACGAAATGTTGAGTCAATCAATTGGTGCGTGAGAGTTGAAGTAGCATAGGATATCTCCTACAAAGTATCACAGCTGTCACTGTAGTCGAGTTGACAGGTAGAACCTGCGCAGTGAGCTGCACTGTTACCACACCAGCCTGCCTCTGAGCAACACTTCCCGGCCGGGCAAGAACCGACTCCAGGTCCACATTCGGCACGCTTTACTAGAGGTGAATTGACATTGGCACCCAGAACAATGCTGACTGACAGCAAAAGGGGCAGGATGGAGTACATTCTGGAAAGTATTCAAAAGAAGACTGAGATGATGCCAGCAAGAACAGCAACAGAAGTCGTTCGGACCTTTACACAGAAAGACCTAGGCTTAGGGAACAGAGTATATTGATATTCTTCGCCCTCATACGAGGGGTAATATTGGCACTGGAGCTACTGAATAGTTTGTATGACATTGCAAAAATAACAACAGCAAAGCCGAGGGCTGCAAAGAACTGCCAAGAACGCCGATGGGGAGCTTGGACAAAGCAATAAGGGACAAAGGGGAGGGAGATATGAGGATGGTGGCTGCGTCTTTCACCAAAGCCAAGAGGTTGGCCAGAGGCTGGAATTCTTGGATCGTATTCCAATACACGGGACGTGGCGGAGAGGCGAAGCTTGGCAGTCAGCGCCTATTGAACAATACGAGCTGATACTGACAGTTCACGCGACTGTTTTTGTTGGTTATGGGCTGCAGTGCCAAGAAATGGACAAAAAAAGGCCTTGGAGTTTAGTTTACTGCAGCTGGTGCCTTTCCGAATTGACCTCGAGCGCACGAGCCCTTCTTTGATATTGACTCGTAAAAGTCACCGGCATTTGAAGAAGGCCAGAAAGTCTGGTGTCGATCTGTTTAGGCGCAGGTACTCCGTCCAAGACAAGGAACATTTTTAGTATAGAAAAAAAAAACAGTTTGATAATACTGCGTAGTACTTGTAGCTCAAACGCAAACTTGATCCCAGTATTCAACATCAAATACAGTTGATCCCGCCACTTAACTTCTAAGAGCGATTTTCTTTGCAATAGTATGGGATAATTGTAGGTACCATGAGCCGATGAATCAACTATACAGACCAAATTATTGTCGCAAAGAAAAGAAACTCTTCGTACCAGATGGGTAGGCTCGTGCATTACCGTTTTTGCTCCCGAATATCGGACCTAGATTATGACAGGAAACACTGCAATCTATCAGCCGCACGCCGTGATTCGATAATGTTCATTTAACTGGGATCTTGACTGAAAATTCATAGACAGGGGCCTGTCTCACGCAAAGCTGCGGCTGCCATCAGGTTTAAGACAAACTCTGCAGGTCGCGTGGGACTTTTGCAGAGGTGTTCAAGGGGGCTGGCAAGATCAGACTCGGGGTTGTGAGGCATCAGTGGTGGGAGTGGCTGGCTGGGATGGGATAACAAAGATGTAGAAAGGAAGATTATGGTGTCATCCGGCTGGCTGACGACAAAAGAAATCCCGAATTTGCTAGAAACCGAATGTATTTAATGTGGGCAGGCGCAATTTACCCGAACGGTGCTCGCCACCCAGTTCAACTGAGGAAAGGCCGCATAAGATAGATTGGCAGAGGGATAATAACCATGATGTAGACGCTGATCTCGTACACCTTGCTACCAATACACGGCATTTCTGGCGACTGCGCGGATGACGATGTTGTCGAGCTGAAGTCTTCGGTCATTGTCAAGATCAATAGAATGTTTCGTTCCCATTCATTCTGCTTCCGTGACATATCGCCACAAAGACCTGCTGCACTTGGCGGTGTGCTCAAGCTTTGTTGCACTAGCCCCTTGGCATGTTGGCATAAAGCGTGGCGTGGCGCTAATCGCTGACGCGAAACGGGTGAGTAGCTTCGTGCCTTACAGTACCTGCATGAAGATCTTTAGTAGACGAGAAAAAAGCAATTAGGGTGGGATTGAGGTAGCACCAACTGTCGGATGAAAGAACGGGACATCTGAGTTGCAGAGCCCGCCCCCGAGCAGTGGTGTCTTAAGATGATCGGAGGGATCTACCAATCGGAACCATATATCTGGTAGGCCGAAACAAGGGTTCAGTCCTTTTTTGAGGTCTACAGCAGGAGGTGGCAGCCTCTACGTCCTCCAGAAGGCCAACCCAGGGAGGCCAGGGGTGTCAAAGCAAGAAACCCCTAGCTCATTTACTATGAATATATCGAATAGGGGGTCTAACATCCAGACCGCACACGCTGCAACGTCTCTCCGTCACTTCCTCACGACAATTAATCACAGCGGGCATAACAGTTCTGTACCGCACGGTTCACTGTAGGGCTTAGCTACCGGGATCTCAGGTTCCAGCCTTCCGGTTCCCTGTCTGGTCAAAGTCTGGTACCATGTGCCATGCTGAATCAAACACCTCACTTGATTTGTTCTGGATCCACTAAAAGACATCAATGTTAACAAGAGCTGCTCACTGAGGGCACAGCAGCCATACAAGATGGGCCAAGCCTGAGATGTCGGTCAGGCTTCTGATCTTGTTCTATTCACTGTGTCTGGTCACTGGGCCTGGGCCGAAGGTTGTCTTTCTTGTGGGCACGGGAGAAACCACCCCCGCGCCCCCAATTTTTTTCACCGCAAGACTTTTACAGACCGAGCAACAGTCACCTATGCTGCCATTCCCCATAGCTCTGGTGTCATGCGGAAGGTTTGTTTCCTGCCCGCCCGACTAGACTCAGGTTTGGCCAACACGGCAGCAAGCGTCGGTGGTTGCATGGGATGCTCGGGCAATAATTCAAGCCACATAGGCTCATGTTGATGATCTTGTCGATCAAGGCTGGCATTCGCCTTGAAGTCATCGGTGTTTGTCTTCTCTGAAGATACACTGGCCAGCTGGCACACTACTGTCGTCACTGCGGCTAATGTTTCCCGTCAGATCCGGCTTGGATTGGCTACTTTGAACTTCGGTACCTCGTGGCCTCAAATTTCTGAAGACGATACGCATGGTGCGTTGTCTTGTTTCACCTGAAATCACCATCTCGGGCCCTGCGCAGGTCTGCACGGAACATTTTAACTGCAGTCCAGCCTCTCATCTCTGCTACCCGTAAAGGTTCGGGTCATCGAGATGAGTATCCGTGAAGTCCGGGCAAGGCGTTTAGGAGGCTGGCGTGGTGTTCATCCAGCCGTGTTAGTTGGCTTCTTTTCTTGTACGCCACTTATGCTACCCCTTGTTCGTCTATCCCATTATTACTACTGCAAGATGCAGAGATCCTTGCCGAGTACCCTTTGATCATAATATGACGAATCTGGCTTTTCTCGTTGCCTTGTTTGAACGCCTCCCTCTCTTCCACCTACTAGCTCCCGAATACTTTGAGCCGACGCTTTCAAGAAGAGCCACCTTCCCGCCCTCTGAGCTCGAACAGCCACTGATCCATACCGTCTCATCTCTGATTTTCAAACAAAAAACCTCAGCATAGTTTATTTACGCATCTGTTTGTCTTTGGTTGCATTTTTCCACCTGTCAGTGCCCAACATGGCTGCAGGTCCATATCCTGATACCCCTGAGTTGTTCGCAGCTGGTGCATCTCCAGCCTGTCGATTTGGTGTTCCTGCAGACAGGAAGCTTTCGTGGGTATACTCGACGGTCGACGAGTATTACCCTACGACACCACCTACTGAGCTATGCGAGTCCGATGAAGAGCTCTGCGAAGCCGCCTCCGGTTCTGTACAGCTTGATCATGAGCCACTTGTGGCCGTGCTCGGGGTTGGATACGTTGGCGAGCATCTCGTCAGCAACTTTGCTCGCAAGTACGACGTCCTCGGTTTCGATGTCTCGGAAGCTCGAGTGCGGCACCTGGCGGAGACCTTTCCCTCCGACACCAGGGCCAAGTTCACATGCAGGCCGAAAGACCTCGCTCGCGCCTCTCACTTTCTCATATCTGTGCCGACACTTCTTCGCCCCGATCAGACCATCGACTCATCCTTCCTGAGGTCTGCCATTAACAACATTGCCACCTACGCACGACAGGGCTCGGTGGTCGTTGTTGAGTCGTCTGTTGCGGTTGGCATGACCCGCAGCCTCCTCGGCACCCTTGCCAAGGAACGCGGCTTCTTCGCTGGCATGTCACCAGAACGTGTCGACCCTGGCCGCACAGAACCACCCGCATATGCCATCCCCAAGATTGTATCTGGGTTGGACGACGTGGTTCCTGGATCTTTGAATGCCATCATCCGGCTGTACTCGCAAGTCTTTGACCAGGTCGTCCCCGTCAGTCGCCCTGAAGTGGCCGAGATGATGAAGCTGTACGAGAACTGCCAGCGCATGATGTGCATAGCCTTCGCCAACGAGATGGCCGACGCCTGCACCCCTCACAAGGTTGACCCATATGAGGTTTGCCGCGCGGCGTCGACCAAGCCCTTCGGCTACATGCCATTCGCCCCATCTCTCGGCGTTGGAGGACACTGCATACCAGTCAACCCATACTATCTGCTCTCCAACTCGGCATTTCCCCTACTCAAAGCCGCGACAGAAAAGATGCGAGCTCGTCCCGCAACTGTGGCCGAAAGGGTTGTTGAAGCCCTTTACAATGATGCAACGACAGACTGCTTCCAGCTCAACACTAGCAGACCCTCTGTTCTCGTCGTTGGTATTGGCTTCAAGCGTGGCCAGTCGCATCTAGCCAACTCTCCTGGTCTCGACTTGGCCAGGAGCTTGGTGCTGACGGAGAAGGTTGAAGTTACTTGGGTTGATCCACTCGTCAAGCAAGAGGCCGTGCCGCAGATAAAAAAGCTGGACGAAACCTCTGAATGGAACAGCGAATCTCTTCGCCAACGGTTCAACATGATTGTGGTGGCCTTTAGGCAGGAGGAACTCGACTTCAAGGTACTTGAGGGCATGGAAGCCAAGGGTGTGCGAGTGGAAATGTGGTGCGACTGAGCGCAAACAGTTCTGCGTTCTTGAACACCAAAGATGCCAGGCCATTCTTGGCTGTGCGATTTTCCATTCTCCGGGTGTGAATCTCGGGCTTGTCTTGGTGGAGTCGTGGTTTGGAACTACACGATGGGCAGGATGGTCTTTTGGAAGGTTATAATGCTTCGAGCGACCTCAAATACATGATTTAGTATCTTTTTGGACACGGTGCTCGTTCCATGTGCTTGTTCCATGTGCTTGTGGGCCAAGACTTGGCCATCCACTTGTCAGGTTGGCATTGATCTGGGAGACACAAGGTGTATGATCATTTCTTCTTCATAACGAGCGCTTTCACTGTTGATTGTACTCCTCTTAGAATAGTTACGATCTGTAGGGAGTCGTCTTATCTTGTACGTCTATCTATTCACAACACTTGTGCCTTTCCAGTGCGCAAACCTGTGCCAGACAACCGAGCAACCTGTTCCTCATCAACAACCCCATGACTGGCAACCTCGCAGCTCAACTATCTTCCAGTCGTCTATCATAACGTCAATGCTCCAATAGCTCCTATCGCAGCAACCACGGCAGCGACAGCTCCTGTTAGCCTGCTCGCCCCATTGGCAGCCGTCACCTCAGAAGGCGACGTGGTAGATGCCGTAGTAGGTCTCGCGGTCTCGCTTTCAGAGACCACGCTCGTCAGCGCCTCGGAAGTAGGCGTCGCGCTGGCAGCCGAGAGGGTAGTGGAGGGAACCGTGTCCAGAGGGGCGAACGTTGTGATACCCGGTCCGGTGAAGAGCACACCGTATCCATCAGAACAGCCTTCGTACTGCCCGTCGCCGATCAAGTTGGCCGTCAGCGTGGCGTCGTTGCACTCGTATGTGAATGTGCCGCCGAGCGCGCTGCTGATGCTGGACCACCAGCTTGTGTGGCTGGAGTAGTAAGGGGTGACAAGCTCGGAGAGACTGGCGGGGTATGTCATGGTGCACCACACGCCGCCCGGGCCGGACGACTCCGAGGGGGTGGTGAATGGGTTGGCTTCCATCCACTCTGATAACGCCGGGGCGGGCTTGGGAGCATCGGCTTCGAAGACGCCGTTCATGCCCTCAATACATACGACAAGGTCGTCCCTCAGAGACGTCCCATCTTCTCCAGGCTCATCAACATCATCTTGGCGTCTGAGAAGATTTTGTAGGGGGTTGGGGCTGATGGCTTGGGAAGCTGTAGTTGTTGCGGCTAAGAAGCTCAAAATGAATATAGATGAGTGATGCATCGTGTCTCTTGTGGAATAGCGTAATTTTGAGGATCGAGTGATATGCGCAGACACTTATGTGCAATGTCCAGCTTCCCGCGACGGCTATTGATCACCAGCGAGCCGCCTGGCTTTATTACTCCAAGGTCGTCTCATATCGTACGTTTCCGTCCGCAGCAAAGCTGTCAAAGTCTCCATGGTAGGATTGCTGGCCTCATTTTACCCAGGCAGTGCTCTGCGGCACAGTCGCTATTCATTTCCTCGAATACCGAGATGGCCCAGCACACACAAAATAAGCAGGGGACCGGACCACACAAGCCTGAATACCTTGCGCAGCTACTACGCACAATCTGCATCGCAGTGCCGAACTTTATCCTAAAGGAATGCTCACATGACCATTTCACACAATGGCCAAGACTTTTCTTTGTCGCTGGATGTAAATGCCAGAATCACCACGGCCGAATGTAAAAAACACATGGCGCGCGACAGCAACCAGTGAAATGGCAACACGGACGGGTAGATATTGAAAGCAGTCTGCGCAGAGGGTATACAGCAACAGAGTGTCTGAGAGAATGATGACTGTACACAATGGCTAGAACGATGCGAAAACCAAATAGGAAGAAAGACAACGGACCAGGTCTCGTACAACGATACAGGCATACCACACCACTTGGCCCCTTCTCATCTACATCAACCGCCATATCGCTTCAAGTAAAGAGAGATGGCATGCGGGCTCGAAATACAAGCTGCCGAGAAAAACAAATCAATGATCAAGACATGAATGCCGGTCAAGCTGGTGCCTAGTCGCCGAGAGGCATGCCGTCGAGCTCGTCAAGTAGACGGCGCCAGTTGTCTGCCAACATCTCCGAGTACTTGACCCTCTCCTGGGCCCAGTCCTGGTTCCATCGGGATACGTGGTATTGGGTTGACTGGAAGTAGATGAGCTCGTCGCGAATGCACTCCTTGACGAAGATGGACCTGTTGTGCTGATTGACGATGGATTCCTTGTCCTGTCGAATGTTAGTGTTTGCCGTTGAATGAGATCTTCTCGGCTTCTCACCTTAATAATGGCCTCGACCACCTTCTCAATCTCGCCCGGCTTGACAAGCCCATCCGGCTTGCCGCGAAGATTCGCAAGTTTGCTCTCGTTGGTTTGTATCCTCCGTTCCAGGTAGGGAATGTTGTCTTTGTCCAGTCGATCGCGTCGTTCGAACATCTCACGAATGGCGACGAGTGAGTCCCGCTGTCGCTTCAGGTCTTCCAGTACGCCTTGATCCCAGGCTTTGCTCTCATCCTCCATCAGGCTCTGGCAAGTCTTGAGGTGCTTGCCCATGGCGGTGAGGCCGTCGTTGAGCAGTGGCACGTCATTCGTGTCGGTGGCATACGTGTCGTTGCTGAGTTCGGTCAATGACTGGAGCGACAGAGCAATACGTGCGTGGTCAGCCGCTACGCCGTCGCTACGCTTGACAAGACGGTCCATGATATTGCAGACATTGATGTAAAGCTCAGCTGAGCGTCTGACGCCAGTCCTGCTGCGGTCGAACAGTTCTTCCAACGTGGCCGGCAGAGAGTCTTCGAGCCCGGGGGGCAGAGTGCGCCCAACAAACTCGTCTTGCACCGAGATTGTAGCTTGCTTCCGCCAGACAGTGAGCTCCTGCAGCCTGATCAGCATTCAACATCAGCGTCAGAATTGGCCGAGTCAAGCATACGGTTGGTACAGTGAGAAACATGATGACAAGCTGTTCTTGTCCTAAGATTGGGTGGCGTACAACAGCGTTGAGGAACCGCGCGAGCCCACGGCGTCGCTTCTCGATGAACGCGCCGTCATTGGAGAGGTGGTTACCGTTGACTTGGGGGCACAGAGCATTAGTCAGAAGTCTTCATGTCGGACAGGAATACTAACCTGCAACACGCTTTGGCGGCAAGAGAGGGAGTACACGGAAAGGGTATCGTTTGTGCAAGCAGTCCAAAAGCCACACGAAGTCGCTGTACCTGCGGACCACCTTACTTCCTCTTCGGGAGGAGGATACTTCGTAATTGTGATGCTGGAAGAAGAAAAGGCCCTCTTTTTCTGGCATCAGGGAAACGACAATGTTCTCCTCAACAGCGCCGCCGGTGCGGTTGCTCGGCAGCGGTCGCAGGGAAGGCGTGATTGTAGGCTCCGCAGCGGCCAGATGCCTGTTGGGCTCCGCAGCGGCACCAAATGGGCTCGGCAGTACGGGGTTGGGCTGAGGCTCCGCGAAACCGCCGCCGACATTGCTTCCATCGAAGAAACCGCCGCCCCAGCCACCGCCAGCAGGAGATGCGCCAACTCCGGTGCTCGTGGGCTGTTGCGGCGAGGCAATGTTGGAGTTGACGGTGGCTGTCGTGTAGGAAGACATTGTGCGCCCCGCTATCGCCGTGCTGGGTATTGTACCGAATCCTGTCTGGCCATTGCTATCATGGTTGGCCGAGGCGGCGCCATTGGTTTGGGCAGGCCGAGGCGCCGGTGCGTGGTTGTGGTTCTTGTGCAGGTCGGGCGAACCCCAAGGGTCGTCAGCGTCAGGGTACTGCATCGGAGCTTGCGCAATATTCTTGGGCTTCGCAGGCGACGGTGCGGGCGTCGGTTCCTTCACAGGCGTCTCGGGTGCTTGAGGTGGTTTGGCAGCAAGCTCGGACACCGGAGGCATCGCGGGCTCGGCGGTCACGCCAGCGAGCTTGGGCTTAGGAAGGTCTAGGTTGTTTATGGCAATTAGCTGTGCACCCCCACCGAGATTACCGATTGAGCTGATAAGACCAAGAGAGCCAATTGACAGGGCAGCGGCCGAGACGTGAGAGAGGGAGCGCGCAGCAGGAGAGGCAGTCGAGTCGAAGAACGGGGGATGGAACCTGAAACTTACTTCTTCGTCGTTCGTCAACACCGTCGAGGCTGATGGCTTCGCCTTCCTGCGCCAGACCGATGAGGGCAAGGAAGACATTGAATTCGTTGCGGCCCACGGCGACGTCATTGTCGTTGGGCGCAATGATGGCCATGATGCTGGCCTGCTCGTCGGCGCCCAGTCTCGCAGCGGCAAAGACCTTGGCGACGCCGCTCGCATTGACTCTGCCGTTGCTGCCATCTTCCTGCACGACGGTATCAAACGTGTCGATGTAGCTGTCGGGCGCGTCGGAGGTGGGGAGCAGGGTTCGGAGGAGATCGGCGCGGGTCTTCTGCTTGCGAGGCGTGGGCATGTCCCACGGCGAGCCTCCCCCGTCGCCGGAAAAGTCGTCGTCGGCAAAGAGGGAGCTGTTCGACTTGTTGGACGGATGTCCCTCATCGAAGAGCGAGTTGCTCGGGGCGCCAGTAGCACTGATGCCCGGAGATTCCTCCGTCGGGGAGGTTCCAAAAAGGGACATGATGGTATAAAACTCGTGATTCGGGGTGCGACAGAATGTGCGCGTGGGGGAGGAAGTGTGTGGGATGGCGTTCGTCCTTTTGGTCTGGAGGTTCGTCCGCGGGAGGCGCAGAACGAGGCGATCTCGATGCGACTTGCCCGATTGATGGCCAGAGAGATGGGCAGACCGCAACGAGGAGAGCAGAAGTCCGTCTAGTGCACTTCCCAATGAGTAGCGACCCAAGTTCTTCAGTTCCAACGGCGACGCAAAGGCTGATCAACCGCACAGCATTCAAGCGAATGTCGTTGAAGACCAGAACGACGACGTGATGCGAGGTTGCCTTGGACTGACTTGAGGGTGGGAGTGGACTTGATTCGTCACGGGCGGGAGCTTGGACGACCTGCAGCAACACGCGCTGGTGCTGGTGCGGAGCAGTGGCTGGGTCCACTCTGGGGGACCACCGCGTATGCGGGCCGAGTGTATGCATCTAACGAGTTTAAGGGGTCATCATGATGAGGACAATTGGCAGGGACCGCAAACGTGAGTCGCCAAATCGGATTGCTGTACTGCTTCGGCGATCGTAGTTTGTACAGAATAATCATGGTATTGTACACGTGCCGAAATACACTACAAATTACACTTACCTCGCTCCTTTACCACAAGGCAGCGGTCGCCTTCACTTCCTTCTTCGTCTTCTCCTTCTTGAAGGTGCCAACCTTCTCCGTGGGCACCTTGAAGTACAGACTGGGCGACTCGCCGGGCTTCAGCAGGTGGCTCAGGTATCCCCTGTGCGCGGGGTCGCGATAGTACTCAATCTCCCTTCTGCTCGTCGGATCCGGCAACCTCCTGAGAAAGCGTGTCGTCCTAGCAGCAGCCAAGATGCTCTCGACGTGCTCCTTGCCCTGCGGCAGCGGCTTGTCCGAGTTTTCGGTCGTGCCCTTGACGATGCCACGGATGGCCGTCTTGGTATAGTACCGCGCAAGGACCTTTCCACCGGTCGACTCGATGGCCTGAATGGCCGAGGCCGAGGCGCGGGACACCAGAATGTCAATGGGCTGGCGCAGAGCCTCCTTGCCGCCGCCAAGAATCTTGACGCCGTCCTTGATGGTGCCTACGAGGTTGGACTCGACAAGCTCTTTCACGGTGATTCGTTTCGTGGGGTCGATGCGGCCGGCGTCGATCCACTGCTGGAGTTTATCGAGGTTGATCTTGGACATGACGGGGGCGCGCCTGTGACCAGTTAGCCTCGGCAACAATCATCTGGGCTTCTCGTAAGGAGCCAAAAATGCATCCTGTCCACGAACCTGTTCTCAAAACCCTTCGTTCCCCTCTGTACCACCAGGGGCGTCTGACCACCCTGGAACCATGGCTTGACTTTGCCGTGCTGTCCCTGACCCTTGTGACCGCGTCCTGAAGTCTTGCCCTTGCCTGACGAGGCACCACGACCAACACGGATTCGCTTGTTATAGGCGCCCTTGTTGTCGCTCAAGTTCGCCAGAATAGAGGCGTGTCGGGTGCCAATGGACAGGCTTGCGAACAGGGAGGCTAGGTGGAGTGTCGTCGCCGCAGGTCGAAGTGCACGGCTGCAGCATGCAGCCACTTGAAGGGGTGAGATTCTCGGGGGCATCGTGAATATGTGTGCGGCTGCCGGCGGCTTCGTCGTCGTCGTCGTCGGACAGCTGTCTCGAGCGAAGCTCCAAATTTTGAAGCACGGCCGTCAGAATGGGAACTTCTTGCAGGTCGCGCATGAGCCAATTGAATCACGTGCGCGCCTCGAGGGTGTGGGGACCAGTGTCCAATCCTGGTGACATAAGCAAGCAGAGAGATCTTCTGTTGCGGCTAATATGGAGCGCTGGGGATTGTGAGCCAACGGATCACCGTACTGCAATCGCAGTGCAGAGTGGACACAGCAGTTCCTTGTCAATCATGACGAGAATCCATGAATCGCTTTCAATGACATTTCCACGATGTCACTTTGATCCAGATCTGGCCCGGAACTCAAAGTCAATCTCGAAGCTCCACATCGTTAATTGACGGCCCGCAGAGTAAGATTGAGGATTGAGATGGTGGTCGCATGCATTGGAACTGCTTCTCAACTACCGTCCGCACACGCTTCTCGCCTTCGGTGCATTTGACCCAATCTATAGCCTCGTCTCGATCGACATTTGACAGGGCGAAGAGCGCCGCAGTTTCCCGTTTGATCCGCAAGAATGAGCCTCCAGCCTTCTAACTGATAAAATGAACTCTCCATCGGGACATCTCGTACCAGATGATAATGACCAGGAGCAGTCTGGACATAACAACGAGCCCAAGGCGCACATGTTGGTGCATCAAGGCCAGCGGCTCCTTATGGCGAGGCACTATCGATAGGCAGCATGGAATGTCCTGCCTTACCAGAGCAGCCTAGGTCCCCGCTTGGAAGTTCCCGCTCAACGTAAATAGCCAGAATTGTGCCAGATCGCTCAGTGTGTCGCGGTTGAAATTATTGACGAGTGTATAGACATGTTGAGCCAGAGTATATGCAGGCCGAGGTTTAGCTCATGGTGACGCCAACGAATCAACATGATGTGTCGTCGGACCACATGAGACATTGACAACACAAATAATAAACACGTGTCCGTCAACTTTTATGTATATAAGACGGCTGGTCGTCCGTCGATGTGTATTATGTGCTTGGGCTAATCGTCTGCTACAATGACAGAGCGATTCTTGAAAAATAATAAGGATCGGACGGCACATGCCATTACTCCAAAACAACACACAGACATCATTCATCGCCGCGAGAAACTCTTTCTTCGCACAATCTGAGGCCCACCAAAACATGGTTTGTCAGTACGACAGCGTGGTGACGGCAAAGCGAGGTCCGCAAACCTGACTACCGCCGTAGAAACCCCGTGACCAACCCGGAAGAAAAAAAGAAGATCAGGAACATCCAACCGAGTGAGAAAACACGCTTATGCAACCAAAAGAAGACAAGAACATCAAGCGTCAGGGGCGAGCAGCACCTCAAAGGCGGTACAGACCGACCAGCACGGCGAGGCCCGCGAGGGCGCTGAGGCTTTGGGTCAATCCCAGGCTAGAAGCCATGCTTGGCGAGTCACTCGAGCCACTCGAGCCAGTGCTAGAGCCCTGGCCCTGGGAATTGCCACCGCAGTTGCCCATGTCTTGGTTGAATTCGGACGAGTCGCAGTTGCTGTCGTCGATCGGGCCTGAAGAGCCGCTGTCAGATCCGCTGCTGCCGCTGTCATCGCCGCTGCCGCTGCCGCTGCCGCTGCTGCTGTCGCCGTCCTCGCCATGCGTGACGCCACCGCCAGGGTTGGCAGCACCTGCGCCGGGGATTTGGTTGGAGCTCGCGCCCGTATCGGTGGCTGATGCGGCAGACTTGGTCTTGGTCGCGGAGTCAGTCTCCTTGTCGTCGTCGTTCTCCTCCGTATCGCGGCCACTGCTTGTGAAGCTCTTGAGCTTCGTGTCCGCGTCGCCGTCGATGACGGTGTTGTTCCTGCCGAGCCAGTTGTCGTAAATGTAGCTCTTGCCGTTGTTGGTTCCAGGAGCGCTCTTGGCATCCCAGCACTTGATCTCGACGTCGCTGACGGCAGCATAGAAGTAGCCGACCTTCTTGATGTCTTCGTGTTCCCAATCAATCACACCACCAGCCCAGTCGATTGTGCCCTTGGCGTTGCTCTCGAGGCCGCCGGGCCAGATGGACAGCTGGACACGCGCCGGAGTCTGGGGGAAGTCCCAGCCTTGGGTTGTCTCGTTCCAGGTATCCTTGCGCTCCTTGACACGACCAACCTGTCCATTGACGAGCCAGGTAATCTTGTCGGGGGTCCACTGAATCTCGTACTCGTGCCAGTTGTTGAAGGTATCCGACAGAGTAATGTTCTTTGATTGATCGTCTGCTCACGGTTAGCATGAATCCGCCAGACAATTTGGGAGAGTACATACAGAGAGGAATGCCCTGGAAGTAATAGTTGGTCTGCGATGTCTTGAGGTCGACGCCAACCCATTCGTAGTCAATCTCATCCTTGACATCGCTGAGCAGGATGAAGGCCGTCACGACACCCCGACCGCGCGACGTCTTCATGCGGGCCTTGACACTGCCGTACCACATGTAGTGTGAGCTGGCCATGACGGTACCAACACTGCCCTTGGGCATCGTGAGGAGCACATTGCCGCCGGCCTCGACGGCCTCTCCTTGCACCACCCAGTCGGCCTTGTCGCCGTCGCCAAGGTACTTGCTGACGTCGACGATGCTATCTGTGCTGTCCATCTTCATGTTCATGTCCTTGCAGACGGGCGCAGGCGCGCAAGAATCCAACGAGAAGGACATGCGAGGGTCACATCCGCCGAGGCAGTAAGCACCAACACCGCAGGCGCCATATTCTGTATAGCAGCGTATTAGCATCATTGGCCTATGGAAACGTCTGCGCGATACACGTACGGGAACAGCAGGGGGCTTCTTCAGGGCACTTCTTTGTCAAAGAACAAGAAGCCTGGTCCGACGACTGCGCGACGACGGTGGCCGCGCCGAAGAGGGCAACAGCTAGTGAGACGGCAGAGAACTGCATTTTGAACCAAGTTCGCTGGATGTCGATGTTGGTGATAATGCGGATAGTGGAAAAGATTGCAGATCGAAAGATTCTTCGCGACTTGAGATAAGGCGTCGGCCGGGTTGTAACGACTGAAGTGTTGGGACGACGGCCCTTGATCAAGCACAGGCGCTTGTCAATGGTATGCGAGGAGACCAGATGGAATGCCTGGAATCCTGAGACAATTACAGCCCCGCCTAGAAGGGAGACTGCGATCGAGCGTCTCGACTGTTGCGGACCCAAAGACTTGGCTCGAAAGCCGTGTTTTCAAAAGCTTTTGAGACAAGCGTTCGACGACCGAAGGGCGTGCAACGCAAGCTGCCGTATCGTCCCGAGGGTTTGTACCTTGGAGCTTAGATCTGTATGACGTTCATGCGTTGAGGCTTGCAGGTCGCGGGCTGATGGCGCGTAGCGATCCGGGGAAGACAGGTACAAGATGGTTGTACAGCTGAGACAGGCGGATGGTGGGGAATCCTGCAAAAGATGTCGAAGAAAAGGAATATATCCACGAGGAGCGAGGGAGGAGAAGAAATTCGGTCTGAAACGAGTGACGACCTGTTGATAATGCTGACTCTGACAGGACTCGAAGAAAACGTGGGAAGTCGACGCCTAGCCTGGAGTAGGAGTGGGAAGGGAGAAATGGGCAGGTGAGAGGGAGCGGACGACGGAATTCACATCCACCTGGGCCCCCTCGGAGAACACAACTGGGAGGTGCCCATCCTACCAACCCATCCAGTCCAGCTCTGGGGCGCGGAAAGACGCTAACGAGCAAAATGGGCAAAAGAAGGGGGGGCATCGGCGGCCTGGTGGACTGCAGTGCCAATGGTGATGTGCACTGGGGGACGTCTTTTGCTGGAGTTTTTGCCCCTTTCGGGAATGGCGCGAGATGGGCCCGGGGCGAAGACGGGCACCCTGGCTTGGTGACTAGGGCCAGGGGGCGGTAACACACCTAAGGTAACCGACTGCACAGCGTCCTCGCCGCTTTGCTCTGGCCGTTGTGAGCCACACTTTAGACGAGCCCCATACCGTACACGTACAGTACAGTTTTGTGCAATGTTGCGTGACACTTGTGGGGAAAATGCGCCCACTCCAGTCGTGTCAGAGGGCTGTAGCTATCCGTCAAGGACGCCATCGCTGTTGCGGGTTGCAGCGCGTCGCGTGCCATCGCCGTCAATTAGATGGAAAGCAACACGCCGCAGTGTTCTGTACATGCAATTGAAGAATCAGCATGAGGCATTGCTTCCAGGTAGTCATCCGCGTGCAATGGCAGCACGAACACGCTGTTCTTTCACAGCAATGCTTCGTCTGTCGGAAAAGACCAACAACACTGCTCCATCAAAGTACTGACCACCAGAGCGCAAATACAGATATGTATATGTATCCGCTTGGTCACTGATACTACTATATCCTATATCTATGCCTTTCTTCAAATTTGAGTTTGTCTCCCCGATCCCAATGGTCTCCACTTGTCAATGTTTTCGCACGTTCCAGGCCCATTGGATCCGATGGTAAGCAGCGGGTACTTTTTCAGGCTTTTTTCTGTGTAACCGTTCTGTCGATCCTTCGATTCAATTATATACAGAAGAGATGAGTACCCACGTGTGCTTTCCTAGTACAGCGTTTCAGTGCTTAGGATGCCTTCATTGTCCACCTACCATCGCCTCCTTGGCCCTGGCCACCTGGGTGTATCTGTCAGAGCTAATAACAATGATCCTACAGGCCTCACAGCCGAGCTTTCGCCCGTAACAGATTCATCTAAATATTTTGTTATCCCAGTACAACCTCAGAAGGATTCCAACAAATCTGGTCAAAGGTAGCCAGAAAGGGCAACACCCAGCCGCAGAGCGCGTCTCTGCTTGGGCTAAGATGTACGGCGAATTCTGTAGCATATAAAGCATTTAAGCTATCGCCTGGATATCCGCCAGCGTTGGAGGAAGTCTGTCCCCAGGCCTATTGTGAGCCCGCATGGCGTCTCGCATGAAACCTCGAAACTCACCAGCCAAGTCAATGTTTTCTCCCTGAGGAGACCGCCCCGCGAATGGCAGCCAAGCTGTCCGTTTCTCGATGCAATCGGCACCATGGAAGACGGAACAAAACCTGAGCACAAAGACCGTCATCCGACACCTCTACCTAGTAAACGCCGGCATACAGACCGTGTCCAACCGATTTGATCTTTCAAAACGGTAACCAACAAGCTCCATGCGCAGGCCCTTACACTGATGTCTACATCAACGCGGCTCTACGCATCAGGGCCTCCACACCCGCCGTTGGGCCACCGTAACGTTGAAACGGCAGGACGATGCAGATCCAGTGGAGACCAGCACTTATGCACGTGTGGCTGGTGGAAGTTATGCATGCCAGGCCAGCCAACCCAATTTCCCCAGTCTGGTTCCTGTCTGATGAGTGGCGTCTCGTCAGCGCGCGGGATTGGCTGCGGCTAGGCAGGGCGAACAGCGAATCCGACACACAATGCCGTCAACCGACCTAGTCGGCAACCCGGACAATGGAACGTCAAGTTCGTGCCTGTCAGCCCAAGTCAGCCCAGGGACATGGGCGAACAGGCGTATCTGCATGGCCGTGAGCGAGCCAGATTCTTCTCAAAGAAGCAGATATATGTATCCGCAGGCTCACCGGTCTCTCCACAAAACGCACACTGTAGCGCAATTCCACACATGCCAGACGAGACGGGTACAGGCATTGGCATCACACATTTAATATGCCCGTCACAAGGTGTAGCTACAGCAATAGAATATCGCAAATCATTAAGGGTATAAGCTCCTTGAATCGAAAGTTCGCCTCCCTCCACCATCACGACAATAGCCCAACCTGCACCCGTGAAAGAAAAACAACAAAAATGATCAGCAGCCCGACCACGCGAGACCGCCTACGGTCAAAGAAGACCGTTGGCAGACTCGAATTGATGGAGGCACCGAAACACGATTCCAGCCCCGGCCACAGCCCGTGGCCTGCCCATTCACGCCATCCGACCCAGACCTCGAGAGAAACAAGCATGACATGGTCGTGCCAAATAAGCAAAAGAAAGCAACAATATCCCTGATGAAAGACCCATCCATCATCGAGACGGAGAGTGGTGGAGCCAGGCCGACAGGAGCCAAGCCGAAGCGTTGGATTCGCTACCGCGAAACACACAAGTCCGACACTCCAAACGAACAGCCGGAAACCTTTGTACCCTCAGATTCCAACGAGTGTGTGCTACAGCGTAGCAACAGACGCCATGACTGCCATGTCGGGTAGGCGCAGTCTTGAGGCCCTGACCGACCCCGATCTTCTGAAGGCCGTAACAGTTTACCGTGTGTTCTTCGCGCCGAGATCTACCGGCGAATGGCTTAGTATGTTGAAGTTCTCAAGGCTTTTTGTTAATGCCAAGCTGAGGCATACCTGGGAAGTGCTCTTTGGCGTATTGCTCGCAGGCCTTGGCCGGCTTGCCGACCTTCTGCCCAATGACCTTCCACTTGTTGCTCTCGTACTCCTTGATGGCGTTGAGGAGAGCTTGACTCTGCTGACAGTTAGCTATGCGCGGAGCGAGACGTCAGCATGTGCATAACAAACCTCGTCCTCGGCAAACTCGGCGTAGTGCATGTCCTTGTACCAGTGCTTCTTGACACTGCCCTCGGTGCGAGTGGGGAAGGTCTAGAAGTACACACGGTCAGTGCCTGGATGGCAAACTTTACTCGGGTGGACTGTTACAAACCTTGGCAATCTCAGCCCAGCTGTTGCCGGCGTCTCGCATCTGCTTGAGGCGCTGCTCCTCCGCGGGCGTCCATGGTGTGTTTGTCCTGCTCTTCTTCGCGGGGGGAGGCTGCACGGGCGCAGCACCAGCGTCATCGGAGGCCGCCGGGGGAGCTGCAGCGGCGGGTGGCACGGGCGCGGTCGCCGGCGCGGGGGCTGGCGTGGGAATTGTAGCAGCGGGAACCGGGGGGGTAGCTGTCACGGCTGGCGAAGCTGTTGAGGGTGCCGGCCTCTTGCGCTGGCGACTGGGGGCCGGCGTTGCGACAGCAGGTTGGGGCTGCTGAGTGGCAGGTTGAGCTTGTGACGGAGGCTGCTGCTGGGCAGGCTGCTGCTGGGGCACACCCATGGGAGGCTGTCCGGGAGTAGCATGGTGCTGCTGCTGTTGGTGCTGTTGATGCTGCTGTTGCTGGTGCTGCTGGTGCTGCGCGGCAGGACTGCCTTGAGGAGGACCATATTGAAATTGGCGCTGGTCCCGATGTTGCATATCAGGCTGCTGCTGGGTTTGCTGCGCCTGATAAGGATGTTGGGAGCTGAAACACAGAGGGCAGTCAGCAAGCAGTCCCAGGACGAGGCTCACGAAAAGCTCGGCGCATTGGGGTGGTTATTGATCTAAGTGCTTTTATGTGAGAGCCCTCAAGCCGGTGGTCAGGATGTTTGGCAGTGAAGGGAGCCGACCATGCTATGCAGCTTAGAGATGTGGATGGGATAGCAGCCCTTGAGAGGATGCTGCACAGGACGTGAAAGGCGCCCAGTTGAGTAGATAGGTTGAAATGAGACTCGCAGTAAATGGGTTGTACTTACTGGATCTCGTTCGGCTGATGAGTGGAGTTGGAGTAGATGTACTCCGGCACGGGGCCGACTTGCCACTGCTGCATTTTCTGGAGGGTAGGTGATCAGCTTTGGGTACACAGGTGAATAAAACACGCGAGACGCGCAACGCGCAGGCTAGCTGTGACAAGTTGATGCAGGATGGCTGGGGTGTGTAGCCGTTGATTGTACACCAATATGACGAATTCTCACAGAAGTGCGAAGACGATGAATCACACTCGAGGCTCGACGATTGACTTTACTCAGTGACAATCGGCCAACAACAAGTCATTGGCGTGCGAGACCTAGGTGGTGGTGTGTGGGTGTGTGTGTGTGTGTGTGTGCGTGTGCGTCGCGATGACGCGGGTCGGGACGCGACTCAATCCACCCATTGACCCCAGCCGTGAAAATGCTTTCAGACCCCATGTTGTGGTACCCGCGACAAATGTGTTCCGACGTAAACCGGTACGTGCCAGTCGCGTCTGGGGATTTCGGGCTGGGGAAGGGGGGGGGGGGAGGGACCAGGAGGTTGCGGACGGGGATTTCAGGTCGAGTGACGAAGGAAGCGATGAATGAGAGACATGAGGTACTTACGGGTGATGTAGCGTGGGCTTGTGGTTGAGGGTTGATGTGGTATCGAAGTGCCAGGGACGAAGGTATCTCTCTCCTCGACCGAGTGACAATAGAACTAGGCCTCGCGTGTTTTTGGAGAGGACCAAGGTATCTCGGTGCACGTACCAAAAATGGCGCCTGAACGTGGGCGAGACGAGGGGGGCACTGATCGGTAGGGTAAAGGCAGGTAGTAGGGTAGGGTACTTCGGAGCGATGTAAGAGGGAGAAGATTGGAGGTAACGAAAAGATACTCGCGCGAAGGGTGGATCAAGGTGGTGGCTGGCGTGTGCGCGCTTCAAGTATCCGTACTTTGGGACCTCTGGGGCCTCTAGGACCTTCGGGGCTTGGGGGAGGGACGAAGAGGCGAGCAAGCCGGAGCCGGGGGTGTGAGAGGGAAAAAAATGGAGACCTTGAGACCTTGGGGATTTTGGAGGTGCCAGGAATGCTTGTTGGCCAAGTCGCAACGGGCTTGATTGGGGCGGCGGCAGCAATTGGAATCAGGAAAATGTAATGTGTGAACAGGTCCAACTGCAGATGCGCGATCGGTGTTGAGGCCCGTGCCGTCGGATTATTTTTCCCTTTGCCGTCGGCCAGGTTCAGCAGAGGTCAGAGTGGTGGCAGGAGCAGTAGAAGCAAGCAATGTTGGTGCTGCCGAGAAGTGGTGGGCGCTTCGTGCGGGATGATGTGATGATGATGATGCGGGCTGGCGTCTCACGGGTCAACAAGGGAAGCAGGGCAGGCTCGTAGGGATTAGATGCGACCGAAACAAGCGCGCGCGCCTGGGCGTGTGTGTATGTGTGTCGAGACGCGCGGTCTTGATGCTTTGCGATGAGAGAACGAGAGACGATGCTGATGATTCGAAGCAATGTCGTCGTCTTGGGACAAGAAAGCTTCCTCAAGGCAAGAATGGTGGGCGATGTACAGCGTGGGATTAGGGTGGCGGGAAGTGAGGGGCCCTTTGGTTCGTAAGGAAGGTAGGTAGGAGGTGGAGGTGTACCTATGAGCAGTGTGTGTACTCGCCCTTCGTGTTCTTGGTGGGTTTGCCCTGCGTTGACGCAAGCAGCCTGTCGGCGACCAAGTGCTGTCAACTGATGCTCGACGCGATCAATTGAAGAAGCGCGCAACAGTGCAGAGACGTCGAAAACCCTGGGCGCTGATGACTGAACCGCCTTACGAGTACTTCGTGATGTGCAACGGTGCTGTGGACCGGGACAGGCGATGGGGTGGATTGAGGTGACGTCCGTGAAGGGACCAGTACTGTAGACCCTGGAGATAGCGACTATGTACCTCAGGTCGAAGTAACTTCCTGGTGATGTTTTGGAGAGGAGGGGGGCGGGGGTCGAGCGGTGGATGGGGGGAGGGGGGCAATAGAGGAGGTCCAAAGTGGGTGAAGGAGGAAAATTGTTAAGGCGAACGCTGGAGGCGCCAAACCACTTTGTGAGCAATGAGCGGAGAGAGACGAGGGAGGGGGGGGGGCCTGCTCGGGGCCGAGGAAGGCCCAAGCTCCCTCCAAGCTTGCCAGGTTGCACCAGTACCTTTGGCCTGTACCTTGGTCGGCGCCCAGTCTGGAGAGCTGCTGCCGACAGCTGTCGTCATACCCCCGACGTAGCCGGCCAGGTACATTGTTGTCCGTGGCTTAACCGACAGCACTGGAACCCAGCGTCTTCTTCGCAATTATGCGCCTTGAATACTTGGCACTCAAACCAGCCGGCATCTGCCGGAGTGACAAACGAAACAACCCGTGTCGGTACGCCTGCACAGACCGCTGGTGATCACTGGGCAAGAGGGCTTAGCATGCGGGGATCTTCTAGCACTGCCAGCTGTCAGCCACCTTTTGACCCCTCCCCACACGCCCGGCACGCCGAGCCATTCAGTTTTCGCGTGCCCTGATTTCTGATCTGACCGACTCGAACGAATGAGTGATGACCACAGGGAAGTAAGCCGGGACTCGACGGCCTGTTGGCTGGCGAAAAGTCTATCGGGAGTCGCTTTTTCAATGCTGTGGCGCACAAATCGCATCATCGCGTATCGTCGTCAAAAAAGAATGTTCAGCTTTGAGCTGTTGACGACGGTGAGGTCGTCATTCGCTTCGGACAGGTACTCGAGAGCTCCCAGGGTCTGCCAGGCGCGACCCTAGCACCTCGTACCCGCGAAGCCCGGGTTTTGCACCGCTGGTCAGCGGTACCTTCAATGGTGGGCACTGTGACTTTGCTGCCCAGTCTTCCCAGGTACCTCATTTCAACACCCTGGAAGGTCCCTGCCAACCAGGTACGTAGAACGATCCACCTCTACCCTGAATGGAAGCTCCCGTATGATCGGTGGTGCTATAGCTGCTGTCGTCTCAGCTTCGCTAACTAATAGAAGGAGGATTCAAAGTCTCGCCTGCTGCGCACATCTTTCGTCAGGATCAAGGCTTACGTGCCTGGACCTGGAACTAGGCCGAACGTTGCTTCAGCCCTACCATCAGCCACCAACCATCACCTCTTGAGTATGGCTAGCGGGATGCTGTGTGAGCGTGGAAGCATCTTCCTCTGAAGTGCGGCAAACCAAGAATCCAGCTTGTCAACCACGGTGCGCTTCATCACAAACAGGTAGCGAGACAGAGTGTTTTTTTCCTTAGTACACCACTGTTCAACGCAGCAGCCTCGCAACCTGGTACTCTGAGAGGGGACTGGGCGTCAAATGATGCATTGGCCAAACCTGGTCGGACGAAGACCCATTCCCGCCATCATTTTCATGATCTAGGAACTCCATGCGTTGGCAACATGCTGCCAAACATCGTGATAACAGCGCACGAGTCCGTTGACCACCGCTTGTCAAGGAGTAACACATGCTCCCTTATCCAGGCAGGGGCGGAAAAGTGTCAGGAGCGATCTTTTCGCCCGTTCGGCCAGGAATCGACCGAATGCAACGCTCGCCAAAGGACACGCGTGTCGCACCAGGCAAAGATATAGGCAGTTCGTCCCGTCAGCGACCTTGGCAACGGAGAATATGAGCACACCGCCGCCATTTCTTCATCAAGTTGACGTTCCCCCGAAATTGGCCAGCAGACCTTGTGACGTACCCGAAGCCAAACCTCAGACGCCGGTTGCACGACAGGGGTGTAATTTCATGCGTGGCCTGCGAGTGCGGTCGCAGGGGCGGATGCGAAACCTCAACCCATGAAACCGTGTAAGTCGCAAAGATCTGACGCGGATGGATGGGACGCGTTTGATCGCGGCGCTTCACCACGGATGAATCCTCCTCTTCTTCCCTCTTGGCCCACATTGAACGTAGGTACTCTTGAGTGTGGGCGCACACACATTCTCTTAGGTCATTCTTCAAGTAGACGGCCCTGTTGACGATGACTTCTGCAGATCTACCGAACGCAGAAGTGAGATGACGGGATTCATGCATCGCCTCTCTAGCGCCCATTCGCTTTTCATGTGCGCCTGTCATTTGTGAGATTACGACGAGAATGCGCCTCAGGCTGACGAGCTTGGCCCTTTTCATCGGTTCTGGTGCACATCGTGTATCGTAATGGGACCACATTCTATCGAAGAACATGAACAATCCACTCGGTGATGCTTGCGGCTGTCATGGCGAGCCTCGAGACGCACCGGTGATCCAAACAACTAATCCAAGCTTGAGCGGTTACACAACACCACAAATGTGGCGAAGAAGCCATCAACACCAAACCATGCGTGTGGGACTCTACATAATGCCTTATTTGGAGGTGAGGCTGTGTCTTAGAGGCACCACAATGGTAGAGAGTTTACTTATGAAGCAACCTTCAGAGCCGAAATGGGCCGGGACGGCCAAGTTATGGTTTGTGCTCGGGCACTATGAGTGCCGGAACCTGTAATTTCGGGAAGGACGAACCGTTCTTTGTCTCTTTCATAGGGTCCTTTCAGGTCGGGTGTCGAGAGACGACAGCGGCGCCTAGATCAGACGAGGGAGACATAGCGCGTCTGTCAAAAGGGTGTGGGAACTAAAGTATGTACGGTAGCGGTGGGTTTCCCCGACTCTGGCAGATGCCGATCGTGGGCGGCGCCCAAGAGATCCAAGAATGAACAGGTCGAAAGTGATATGCACACGCTTGGTGGAGGATCGCTCAACACCAACAACTGGGGAGGGGAGGGGCCTTGGTGCGCGCCCCCGCATCGGTGGTGAACTCGCCGCTCCGGGGCTCTGAGCTTCCTGTCGATCATCCGCTCCGGCATGATCGAGTACCCCATGTTGCTCGTTTGGCGAGACCACAGCAAGAACACAGCTGTCACGAGGTGCATAGTTGATCCTAGGCGGGAGTGTTACGATTGCATGGTGGTGATTAGCTCCGGATGGTGGAGGATCACCAGAGATTGCCATGTGCAAACCATGGGGCGACCACAGTGGTTCGCACGCGTGTAATTCCCTCAGTCAGTGCAACGGATGAGGCACTAGCCGCTGCAGAACGGGAGGTCTGACGTGCAAGAGG